TAGGTTCTGATAAGCGGTTCTCGAGATTTCGAGGAATTTAGGCGACGCTCTGGGTGCACTACTATTAGAGGGAATACGGTAATATATGCAAGATATGGATAACGTCAAGAATCACTAGAGCTTCAAGATCAAGATCCATCTACAGAGAATTTAAACGTTTCGTGACTATTGGACTCTCTCAAAACTCTCAAAACTCTCAAAACGATTCGAAATTCTGGCAGTTCTTATTGCAAATATTGTTATAAAAAAACTTATTGAAGGTGACTGGAATTTCTAAAGCCAAGAATTTCTAACGAAAGAACCTCTCCTTGAACTAACTGTGGGATTAACTTTGAATAAATCTCGAAAAAGAGGGATAGCTTGCCTGCTCTTTACAATTTTGAAACATTCGATTAAATTCGTGACCAAGCGGCGGTGTCTAAGAGATTTAAGAACAAAAATTGTTGACTCTATCTTGAGTCTCTTGAGTCTAGTAACTAAAGTTTGCAAATTTGCAAATGCAAATGCAAATCCAATTTTCCATAGAGCTATCTTCGTAAATCTCTGCTGGATTTTGTTTTTTTCTAGGCGAGAGATATCAACCTTGTGTATGTGGAAAAAATAGAAAAAAAAATAGAAGTAAAATGTGAAAAATTCAGGAAAAAGAAGAATTTGAGAAAGAAAATAATCGAAATGGGAAAATTTTCCGAGAACGAAGGAAATCCCTGCAAATGATTCTGTGAATCGGGAAATGAATGGATGGGGAAACGATGCGCTTATTGAATTATTGATAATCGAAAACAAAAACACCAATTCATTCGATTCTTTTTGGTGGGTTTTTGACTGTAAATTTGAGCTAAATTTGAGCTATTTGAGCTGTCTCCAAATCAATTCGATTTTTCAAGAGAACGAAGCTATAAAAATGACTCTAGTTTGTATCATTCGAAAGATAAATTTCTGTTCTACATTTGATTTTTCAGCGTTTTTAGAAAGCTTCAGTTTTTTTTTTGATGGGGAACCAAATTTAGAGAGCTAAGGAACCAAATTTAAAGAGCTAAGGAACCAAATTTAGAGAGCTAAGGAACCAAATTTAGAGAGCTAAGGAACCAAATTTAGAGAGCTAAGGAACCAAATTTAGAGAGCTAAGGAACCAAATTTAGAGAGCTAAGGAACCAAATTTAAAGAGCTAAGGAACCAAATTTAGAGAGCTAAGGAACCAAATTTAGAGAGCTAAGGAACCAAATTTAGAGAGCTAAGGAACCAAATTTAAAGAGATAGGGAACCAAGCAATTTTTCAGGGCTCTAAAGACAATTAGTTAAAAGCGTTAAAATTCATTTCTTAAAGTTCATTTGCTTTGCTTTTTTGCTTAAAGAAAAGACCAAGTCTTTATACATTTTCAATTGAAATTTACAGTCAAATCCGTTCAACTTTTCTCTAAATATTTCGAATCTATTTGAAAAGTGAAAAGTTTAAAAGAACTTTTGAATAACTCAGCTGTTTTTTTTCAAATGAGCATTCTTTAAACTCAAAATTTCGAAAAAAAAACAGCTGCTGAGTTATTCAAAAATTCTAGTAAAAAAAACATCAAAATTCATAAAATATCATTTTATTTAATATCAAAGTTTATTTTTCGCACAAAATAGTGAGTGAGAAGAAAGTTGATCGACGATAAGACAAGAAAAAGTGATCGACGATAAATTTAGAATAAAATCTTCTGGGAAATCTCCTGGGAAAAAATCAAAGAATTCTGGTTTAAAAAACGACTGAATTTATGCGGATCGAATCGGGTGAACGAAAAAATGAGAAATTCTTCTTTTTTGATGTCCTTTTTCGTTGAATAGATGGATCTAGAAGAAAAAGAGAAAGATAAAGAGAAAGAGAAAGAGAAAGATAAAGAGGAAGATAAAGAGGAAGAGAAAGAGGAAGAGGAAGAGGAAGAGAAAGAGGAAGAGAAAGAGGAAGAGAAAGAGGAAGAGAAAGAGGAAGAGAAAGAGGAAGAGAAAGAGGAAGAGAAAGAGAAAGAGAAATCCCTCTTTTTCAAGGGATTTTCTTTTTCTTTCTATTTCCCTTTCTTCTCATCTCAAAGAAGGCAATCGCAATTAATCCCCCCGAGCAACTCTCCTTGTTTTTTCGATCATTATTTGAAGTAACCATTGGATCCTCAAGGCTTCACTCTTTTTTTAAAAGTTCTTTCAACTCTCTCAACACTAATTGTTTGTTTATATCTAAAATCTAGTGCCTTTCCTAAACGTAATCTTCTCTCCAGTATTTTTATTTGTTTTCTTTTTATATAAACCCTGACAGAATCAGAGGAAAAGTTGATAGATTTGATTAAAAAAACTAGAGACAAGATTACGATAGTTTTTGGCACCTTTAATCTCTTAGTAATCTCTTGTTTCACTACAGTAAGCTAAAAGAAAAACTATTCAAAGTAAAGCTTTCGAATGATTACAGAATTTGAAAGATTTCAGTCTTGTCACTAATTTTTAAGCCAATCTAAAATGGAAGAAGACATTCGAATTTGACTAGACTATAGCTACCGTATTTTCTGTAATAGTAGTGGGCACTACTATTTTTTCAACCCCCCCCCTCCAGCCTGCACTACTATTATAGACTGCACTACTATTACACTGCACTATTATAGACTGCACTGCTATTACAGAAAATACGGTATAATCATTAAAAATTTTGAAAAGAACGAAAATTGAGCTGAATATCTTTCTTAAGATAAACTATTAAACTGTAAGAGAGTTGAGAAACTGAAGAATGAGGAATGAAGAATTCAGAAAAAGTGCTAAACAAGATTTGAGTAGAAAGAATTGAGAACAAAGCAAAGAATGGGGCGAGAAGGGAAAATTGTGAACGAATTCGAGGTGGTTTCTCTTCTCCGATGCCAAAAAAAGGAAAAGGTTTCCAAAAAGCAAATCGAATTTTTTTTTGTTGGGGTTTTCACTCCAAACGATGAACCTTTTTTTAAGGGGAAAAGGGATGGAATGGACAAGAAAAGAGAGAAGACAGAAGTCACTCTCTCACTCACAAATTGAAGGCGAACACAGTGAGAATTCCTGAGGATAAAGAAGAAAGATTTTCGAAAAATTATGGTAAAAAAACTTGCATTCGAGGTGGTTCTCTCTATTTTCTCTAATAGTAGTGCATCGTCGTCGAAATTGAGATTAGGATTTGAGATCAGATAGACAGAAACTAGAAGTTCAAAAGAACCTTTAAAATAAGAGTTTTAGAAGAGTTTTTGTTCAAATTCAAAAATTTGCTAACAATTTTTGAAATTTGAAATTTAGTTGATTTAGTCGAAATCTCAGATTATTGATTTCAGATAGACAGAAGCTAGAAGTTCTAAAGAATTTTAGCTTTTAGAAAGAGATAAGATTTCTTATAGAAAGATAAGATTAGAAAGAGATAAGAAGGTTCAAAAGAACTTTAAGATAAGGCTTTTCGATGGGTTTTTTGTTCAAATTCAAAAATTTACTAACTATTTTTGAAATTTAGTTGAATTTCCCGAAAAAAAAAGGCTCAATTTACGTAATTTTCAGTCTCTTTTCTTTTGGGTCAAAACGTTTCTCTTGCCATTACTCGTGACGTCATTTTGACTCATAATTGAGTTTTATTCAACTTGAATACAAAAAACTATATATAGTATACCGCATTTTCTCTAATAGTAGTGCACCCTGAGCGTCGCCTAAATTCCTCGAAATCTCGAGAACCGCTTATCAGAACCTATCGATGTGAGGTCGGAAAATGTAGCTGACGATGAGCTCTAGTCGGGGATTAGAGTGTTGAGTTTCTGCAAAAGCTTGGAAACCGGAAAATAGTCATCAACTGGGCTCTACTATTAGAGCGAATACGGTAAATCATTTCTAAACGGTGTGCTTCTGGTTAGGAAAAGGTTACCGGTACTTACCCACTAAATAACCCAAAATAACCCGTTCTAATAGTCGGTTCTAGTCAACAATTTTAGAATTACCCCTACTAGCAGTATTGTAGACTAAATTCCACGAAATCTCGAGAACCGCTTATCAGAACCTATCGATGTGGGGTCGGGAAATGTAGCTGACGATGAGATCTATTCGGGGATTAGAGTGTTGAGCTTCTGCAAAAGCTTGGGAACCCGGAAAATAGTCATCAAACTTGGCTCGGTCGGGTGCTACTATTAGTAGAGAAAATACCGTATTGCCTTGCTTTAATTTACTCGTTGAAATGATCAATGTTTGAAATTAAACGAGAATTCCAGAATTCAGAATAATCTCTCTCTCTCTAACAGATCTCTCTAACATTTTAAACTAGAATAAATAAATCAAAATCAATTTAGCTTTTTAAAAAACTTTTATGTTTACCGTATTTTCTCTAATAGCACCCTGAGCGTCGCCTAAATTCCTCGAAATCTCGAGAAGCGCTTATCGCTTCATTTATGCAGAAAAGAAATTTTAAAAAGGGCTGCTACGCAGGAGTACGCGATGATACTCTTTACCCGGTCTTCTATTCGAAGAAATACGGTATATAAAATTGATACAAGCTTTAATCAAAGCATTGACTGTAGTTTAGGCAGTTTAGTCTTTAGTTTAGACAATAAATAATGAATGAGTCAACAAGCAAAAAAACCTACAAAAGAAATCTGAATAGAAAAGTTCGCAGCAAGCAGTTTGACCTAAATTTCCCGTAACTTTGTTCCTAATCAAATCAAAAGTAAATCCTTTTTGATAGTCAATGAAATTTCCACTCTCAAGGTCAGCCAAGTAATCGAAAAGGATCCAAATTCATTCGTTTATCTAAAAAAACTAAACTTTATACTAGTAAGTTTGAAAATTTTCAGAAATTTGTCAGAAATTTCCCTTTTTCTCGGTTTATCATCGGTCTATTGAGCATTCTCTCATCATTTTTCATGTGAAATTTTTGAAACAAACTTTTTTATAGAGTTTTCTAAACTTTCCCCTCAAAAATGTCCTCTACAAAATGTCATTTCTGTACTCATTTATATTCTTTCATTATCTATTTATTTCTTCTAGCGATGATCAGCATTTTGTTGCTTTTTCAAGGATTGTTCACGCCGATTGTTTACGCGAATGAATTGGTTGAGACACCGTATGGAGATTTGAAGGGATTCAGTTATACAACAGCTAATGGAAATCAAGGTAGCTAATGGGATTCAGTTATAAAACAGCTAATGGAAAGTTATACAACAGCTAATCAAGGTATGAGAATGATCCAACCAGGATCTGAAGCTTGTAAACTAGGTTAGAATTGGTCAACTCAAAACCTCCTTTAGAACCTGTAAGGCTATAGCTAAGCCAAGCTAGAATTCGTCAACTCAAAACCTCCTTTAGAACCTGTAAGGCTATAGCTAAGCCAAGCTAGAAACCACGTCAAGATCTATTTAAAACCAACAGTAAAGCTATACCTGTCCAGGACCAGCTTTTGATGACCGGCTTCTGGTTCAGCCTAGACATCTCCTGAGATCAGATCTCCTGTAGCTCAGCGCGGTTATCGGACATTTGATACGCGCTCACCCTTTTCCCATTAACAATCTAACTTTAAGCTCAAATATCTTCGTGTTAGGCTATTGAATTTAAATATTCTTAATATCATTAGATGCGGCAAGTCTTTCTCTATCGATTGGTACAAAAATAATTTAAATTGAACAGCTCAACACCAAGAAATTTGAGCTCGAAGTTGGATTGACAATAGCAAAGGGGGTGGTCAAATCAAATTTTCCACAATTGGTCAGAGCTAGACCGGAGGTACAAGTTTGACTTCTAGAAAGTATTCGATGACCCAGCTCAACCTGGGCCGACATTGAAGACTGTTTTCTGATACAAACACCTGGATCAGGTCAAAGCTAGTCATGGATTTAAACCAAGAGTGTTCTAAAAGCCTTGTTGCTTTTTGCTGAAGAGTTCTTTCTGTTCTTTGTTCTTTGTTCTTTGTTCTTTGTTCTTTATTCTTTGTTTTCAGGCCGGGTCTTCCTTGGGATTAAATACGGTTTTGGTCCTCGTTTCAAGGTTGGATAAAGTCTTCTTTTCATTGTCGATATCATTTCCAGAAACCCTATCCAATCACATATTACGGGAATGTGGATGCGACAAAGTTTGGACCAATATGCCCACAGGTTGGAAAATTGAGTACACCAGAAAGGGTGTGTTTACATTTTTGAGCATAAAGCATAATTTCCAGATCGATGGCCGAGACAAAGCGGCTCGCTTGGGAACAACCGTTTCCGATGATTGTCTTTCGCTCAATATCTATGCACAACAAGTAAATTTTAGAGTTTTAAAGACATTAGATGAATAAAATATCAATAGAATTTACATTTTAATGGAATTTAATAGAATTTAATGAAATTTAATGGAATTTAATGGAATTTAATGGAATTTAAAGGAATTTAATAGAATTTAATGGAATTTAATGGAATTTAATGGAATTTAATGGAATTTAATGGAATTTAATGGAATTTAAAGGAATTTAAAGGAATTTAAAGGAATTTAAAGGAATTTAAAGGAATTTAAAGGAATTTAAAGGAATTTAAAGGAATTTAAAGGAATTTAAAGGAATTTAATGGAATTTAAAGGAATTTAAAGGAATTTAAAGGAATTTAAAGGAATTTAAAGGAATTTAAAGGAATTTAAGGATTTAATGGAATTTAATAGAATTTAATGGAATTTAATGGAATTTAATGGAATTTAAAGGAATTTAAAGGAATTTTATAGAATTTTATAGAATTTTATTTTCTTTCTTTTACAGGACTCTCCATCACTAAACCCGGTGCTTGTTTGGATTCACGGTGATCACTTGCAAACTGGACACGCGAATCTTGACCCAGAAGTTGTTATTGAAAGGTGAAATTGTAGCTATGATCAAAAAAGAAAACAGATTAAAAGCTATGAGCCGGTTTTTTTATCTAATACATATTAAGATTTGTCTCTCGTGGCGTTCTTTTCGTTTCTCTTCAATATCGATTAGGAGCTCTAGGTAAGGTAGGCAAGCTATTTCCTTGATTTGATAGCTTTATTGTAATTTAGTTTACAATAAAATTCACCAATAAATTCAATGTTTAGGATTTTTCAACATTCGCCAATTTTTCAATGCCACTTCTGAATGGGAAAGCGAAATTGACTCGAATGTTGGCGCTTATGATGTGCTTTTGGCAATGAATTGGATACAGAAAAATATTGAAAGGTTCAAGTTTTCTGAAATTTAAAAAAAACCTAAAAATTGGGATACTGTAGTACGCAAATTAGTGCTATTGGGTTGGTGAATTGAAAACTGCCGGCGATTGTCATATGTGACAGTTTGAGCACTTTCTTCAAAAGAAACCCATTTTGGTGTCAATGGGAAAGTTGTAGAGAATCAAAAATCAAGCTTATATCCAAATTTTCAGAACGATTCAAAAACTGGTTTTCAAGAAATGCGAAATTTACGAATTTTCACAAAACTTGCATTTTAAGCGAAACTACTGAGTGTATATTTTTGGAAATTTGGCTTTAAGCCTAATTTTTGATTCTCTACAGCTTTTCTATTGACACCAAAATGGGTTTCTTTTGAAGAAAGTGCTCAAACTGGGCTGACAGCTGACATCTCCAGTCCTCGATTTTTGAGTCTCACATTTGTCTCACACACAAACCAAAATCCTACTACGAAAGAGGAATCCGCAAATTGCCTGTAAAATGGGCAGAAGTCGTCAATAATAATGGAAATTGTTTCGAATGAAATCATGGTTTTATGTTCAATAAATTTTAGTTAAAAGTCCGGCAATTTTCAATTCACCAACCCAATAGAAATCATAGTAACAAGCTTTGTCGTTATTTTTCGAATTTCCTACCGTAATGCATTCTCCCATTGACTGATAGCTAAGCCTACTGTAGCTAGACATTGAATAACTGAATACTTTCAGCTTTGGTGGTGATCCCAGACAGGTTACGGTAGCCGGTCACTCTTCAGGTGCCTGCCTAGCAAGCGCCCTGCATTTATCAGGAAAAGCTCAAGGTAAATCTTAGGCTTGTGCAAATCGATTTGTAAATGCAATGACAAACAATCTGAGTCAATAATTGTATAAAAATCTAGGCTTATTTCACCGTCTAATTCTCCAAAGCGGCACTTCGGAGACGTGTTTTGATGGAGTGAACGGGTATCGGGATATGCCTGCAAAAATGGCACAGCAAGTGGGGTATAGCTGGGAATAAGGTTGGAGCTTGCGGTGAAGTCTCGATGCGGTATTGCAAAACATGTGGAGCCTGAAAGGACGAGTCGAATGCTGTAAAAATTAGCTCCTTATGAGCATTGGAAACACACTAAAACTGGGTCACAAGTTTATAGTCTTGTTTTCGAAGGACTACTCTCGTTGGCTCGGCGGTCTAGTGGTTAATGCAAAGGTTTACCAAGCAAAGGATCAGGGTTCAATTCTTTTTCGAGATTTTGAATATCGAGATTCCTTCGCGAGCTCTAATCGTTTCCTTGTGAGATTGTATAATAAGAAAACGGTTACAATAAGCTTGTAGAGTAGAGGTTTATTATTTCATTCGAGTAGATTCCTCTCTTCTAAAGCGTTTACGAAAACGTCAACTTTCAAACAATTCTGTAATCTTGTCTAGACCGTAATGCCTCTAATAGTAGCGCTCCGTACAGCCGCGTAGTCGCAAAAATTTTTTCTTAAATCATTTTTTCTAAGCACCCATAACTTCTAAAAATACATATTTGGTATCAAAAAATAGCCCTGAATTTCAGCTTTCATTTGATGCTTAAGCGCAGACTGTAGCATAAAAGGGTGGCGAGAAAAATGCGTTTAAAGTTCGACTACGCGACGCTCCGACCGTCATTACGGGCGGCGCTACTATTAGAGGCACTACGCTAGTTTTATCCAATTTTATACTACCCTAAAGTCGCGAGTATAAGTTCTGTTTGGTTTTCGCATGCAAATTGACGGCTGTCTCCGGTGCGGTGTGTCGAGGGTTCGAACCCCGCTGCAGCATAACTTTTTTGCTTTTTAAGAACAATAATAGAAGTAAAATTTATTGAGGGTTATAGCAATTTTATGCTGTTATTTGTTGCTCCGGGCGTGGCTCGGCGCGTCCGCCCTGCTCCTCTCCGGTGCTCAGTCTTATGGATCCCTCCCTGGCCTCTTCATCCGGCCAAAGTCCACGTCGACGGTCGAAAGAGATGCTTTCCAGCGTCTTCTTCAACACTATCGTCTGGATGTAACCATGCACATAACAAATAGCAATGGTGATAGGCTGTCACCCTGTAGTATCCGGCGCTCCAAGAACAATAATAAAAGTTTATATAACAATAAAAATGTATAAAAACCCAACAAAAAGAAATTCAAAGCAATTAAAGCGAATGTAAATTAAGGCAGAACTTAAACTCGGATGAACTTATACTCGAGACTTTAGGGTAACAAAATGGCAACTACCGTATTTACTCTATTAGTGGGGTCGTCTGGAGGGGGGTTGAAAAAATAGTGGGGTCCTCTCGAATTGGAAGAAGATATTGGTAACGAAAGTGATACATCAATTGTTGATCTCTTGGATTAGTTCTTTTACTGTTTGTTAATGTTTTGTTACGGTTAAAGCTAAATAAAATATGAAGCCAAACTTGTTTTGTCAAGAATTTCGGAGAAAAATTGATATCTTTTCAATTTAAAACTTTGGTTTTATGTTCTTTTAAATTTCTCTAATAGTGGGGTCGTCTGGAAGGGGGTTGAAAAAATAGTGGGGGACCCCACTAATAGAGTAAATACGGTAGTCATTTGAACAGTTTCTTGCACATAAATCTCCATTAATGTCTACAGAAAAAAAGATAGAGTATACTCAATTACAAGAGTTGTCAAACTTTATAGACTTTTACAGAAATATCCCCTTCAAACGTTTTCTCTAGATCGCTAGTTTTATCCAGTTTTATACTAACTGATTCTATAATTACTTGATATTTGTATCATTTTAAACTCGATATTTGAAATCCTCACTCCAGTTTTGCTCAATCGATCTACACTCGGCCGATCTCGATTCAAATCTGATTCACGAGTTGGAAATTTGCATGTTAAAGCAGGAAATTGATCAATTTATCGAATTCGATAAAGTTTGTGAGATCGAAAAGTTATTGTAACTTTAAATTCAGAAAAATTTCCTTGGTTGGAGTCTCGTGGTTGATGGAGAGCTGTTCGAGGGGATTCCCGCTGAAATGAGCGAACGTTTGGATGATGAGAAAATCGAGATTTTGTTGGGGATCACGAGAGACGAATGGGCTTTTTATGGTTGGCAATATGGAAGAATTTGAATTCGCAAAAATATTAGACTAATGAAATTTCGATTTAGAAATGAAGCTGATGCAATCGGGCATGAAAGTCCTCGATCCGTCCGTCTACAATTGGAGAAGTGTCGTGAAATTTGTTTTAAAGGTGAGCTGGGCCAGCTGGAATCTGGCTTCTGATCAGATAAAGATCTGGCTTCTGATCTTTATCTGTTCTTTGATAAAGTAGATCTTAGTCGGACTCGTAAAAGAAAGATTCCCAAATGAGAGGTTTTGTTTGAAAGATGAAGCAAAATAAATCCCGTTAATCGATTCTCCGACCACGAAAACCTCCGGGTACAAATTTAGAGCTGAAGATCTTCTTTTGAATTGACCCAAAGAATTTGCGCATAGTGGGGCTGAAAAAAAGTGAATATCGGCTCAGTTGTTCACGGCTCAATTTTTGCTTTTAAATTGAACACTTTCTTTCAATTTTTGCTGGATTAGCTAGCCGAATCAATGCTTAATCAATGCTTAATCAAGGCTGAATTAAGGCTTAATCAATGCTTAATCAATGCTTAATCAATGCTTAATTAAGGCTTAATTAAAGCTTAATCAATGCTTAATCAAGGCTTAATCAAAACTCAATCAATGCTTAATCAAGGCTTAATTAAAGCTTAATCAAGGCTTAATTAAGGCTTAATCAAGGCTGAATCAATGCTTAATCAAGACTTAATCAATGCTTAATCAATGCTTAATCAATGCTTAATCAATGCTTAATCAAAAACATTCGAAAGCCTAAAGTGTTTGAAATTTGAAATTTGAAATCCTAAAGTGTCCCCTATAAAACTATATAAAGTCTATAACTTTTTAAACGATAAATCTCCAAATTTATCCCTAGAAATAAGAGATTTAAACAATTTCCCCTCCGAAATTTCCCTTTAGACACTAGCTTTTGCGTTTCCTCGATCGGTGATGAATGAAAAGATGCGAAAAATCGCGGACGGATACACCCTCTCATCGATCAATAAACATGTGGCAGCATGGTTGGAAACGACAAATGATGTAAAGATATTCACTTAAACATTACAATGCATATTCAGGTGTTAACAGACGCTTTCTTTGCTTCGAAACTCGTCCGAGAGATTGAGATCTATCGAAATCACACAAAAAACGCTTTTCTTTATGAGTTAACGCAGCCTGCGTCAAGTTTTTCAATTGATGGATATAAACGTAATGCTTTTAAATCAAAATTCTTATAAACTTTTGTAAGTTATAAGAATGTAAGTTGAATGGAAGTTAAATTCTAGCTGCAATGCATGGTGATGACGTCACGCTGCTCTTTGGGCGGAAAGAGTCAAAAGCGGCCAAAGAAATGACGCGATTGTGGACGGATTTTGTAAAAGGGTTTGTTGGAAAATTTCGTCGCTACTTTTCCGTTATAAATCCGCAAAAATAATCCCTGATCATTTAATAATCAAATATCGATCAATTTAATCAAATAAGATCAATGAGGTATCCATGCCCGTAGCAATTTGTTGCAATACCCATTCGTAGAAATCTTGTCCGACCATGAATTCTTGTCTTCTTGGACTTCTTGGACTTCTTGTTGGACCATCAATTCAGCAGGTAGCTCGATAGGAAATGACGTGCCGTACCGCGATGCTTCTTGTTTCTCCATTTGGTAGATCCCCATAGACGCTCGATCGTTTGCGTGTGAATGACAGGGTCATCAGGAAGTTGTACTTGTGGTTGGCTTGAGTGTGGGTAAAGTCGGCTTCCTCCACCTGTTAAGTGTTGTATCCTCGCCAAAAATCGGAGTAAATTTGGGTTCCCGGCCGGATGTGTTCAATCATAGGGTTTCAATAGGGCTTTGGCCGAGCGGTCAGCCACCTCAACTAGAAGGATGTAAATTTGCAAATCATGGAAGGATGCAAATTTTGCGGATGTATAACGGAAAAGAGCCATTTTGTCTTTAAATGCAAATTTGATTTGTGTTTTAAGGAAAGCGAAGGTTTTTAAGGACTTGCGATGAGTAACTTAAACCAAATTTAAGCTAAACTGTAAGGTTGGTTGACTGGACTTGTTGATCTAGTTGAAAATGTTAAAAGAATGTAGCCTTACCTTGTCGACCTAAGGATAGCCGCCAACCTAAGAATGAGTAATTAAGAAGTAAGCCTGAACTAACCCGATAAAATTTCCTGGACTTGTTGATCTAGTTGAAAATGTTAAACGAATATAGCCTTAGCTTGTCGATAGCCGATAGAATAGCCGATGGAATAGCCGATAGAATAGCCGATAGAATAGCCGATAGAATAGCCGATAGAATAATAGAATAGCCGATAGAATAGCCGCCAATCTAAGAATGAGTAAGCTTAAAAAGAACTTAAGAAGTAAGCCTGAACTAAGCCGAGAAAATTTCCATTTCAAGCAGCTTTATTTTCCAGTTTCTCCTCAATTGCGCCTTTGAATCGATCAGAGTGGAACTATGCCGAAATCGACGATCTTGGTGTCACTGAAAGACGGGATTTTCGAAGAAATGGTAAAACAATCTAAATTGGAACTCTCAAGTATTGCTTTTCCGGGAAATTATCTATCAATCTTCCCTTAAAAACTATCGCAATCTTCCCTTAAAAACAAAAAAAAACAGAAATTTTGTTCCCGAAAAAATCTTCCCGTAATTTAGAGTTTTTCTCCAATCAATCGACTTTTTCTCTCAGATCAAATAGATAGACTTTTAGAAATAGATAGATCAAATAGATAGACTTTTAGAAATAGATAGATCAAATAGATTCTTCTGACAGACAGATTCAGACAGATTCTTCTGACAGACAGATCCAGACAGATTCTTCTGACAGACAGATTCAGACAGATTCTTCTGACAGACAGATCCAGACAGATTCTTCTGACAGACAGATCCAGACAGATTCTTCTGACAGACAGATCCAGACAGATTCTTCTGACAGACAGATCCAGACAGATTCTTCTGACAGACAGATTCAGACAGATTCTTCTGACAGACAGATCCAGACAGATTCTTCTGACAGACAGTAAATCATTCCCAAATGGGATTTAATATTCAAATATAAACAATTTGTTAACAACTTTATCTTGTTATTTTGTTCCCCAGTGTTTTCATAGTCGTAAAACCTATTGATGGAGTTTATTTGAACGATTTGTCCCAAGAAAAAGTCTCAAAAGAATCGAATTGGCTTTTGCCTTGCTTTTTCTTTTACAAATGATAACTTTTCACAATGAATGGACCCATATTTTGTTTTCAGATTTCCAAGAAGAACAAAATCTTATGTTTTAGAAAAATCTAAGTCTACCATTTGAAGATCTCTTCTAAATCTGAATTCAGCTCGCCTTTTATGGTCATCACCATCATCTCAGCTCTTTGTCCCATTCCCCCGAGCGTCTGCCGAAAAATCTTGGACAAACCCATCGCTAGTCTTGTTTTGAAATAAATTTTACAATTTTACAAATTCTACAACAATTTCTCAAGCATTTTCTCAAGATTTCGCATTTAAAAGCCTTTTTCACAGACTCGCTTTCTCTTGAAGTCGGTAAAGCACAATTTGCACTATTTATATTTTAAAAAGAAATCTTGTAATAAAATACAACTTTCTAATGCTCTAAACAACCGCAAGATGCAAAAGACACCCAACACTTGCTCTTGCATCCTTCAAAATTGTATCATTCTTTGATTTGCAACAAACATTGTTGTCTCAATGTACTTTGTGCTCGAAAAAGTGTCAACACAAATTTCCATCGTTTAGAAAAGAGAGTCAAAATCAAAAATACATGCTAATTGATAAGCTAATGAATAAGTTCAACCTATCAAAAAGTGGCAGTCTGATCAAGAAGCCGAGATAAACTAACTTTCAGATAAGATAAGTTAGCTTAGCTTAACTTAACTTAACTTAACTTAACTCAACTCAACTTAACTTAACTTAACTCAACTTAACTTAACTCTGTTATGCTTCAGAATGCTTCAGAATGCTTCAGAATGCTTAAATGTTCAGCTTTCATCGAGAAGTCATCAAATCGTTTTCCTCAATGTTACATTGTAAAATTTTGAGGGAAATCTATGAGGAGGCGATTGATTAAAGGTTTAAAATTATCTATTTCAAAGTTTACAACACTGAAAACAAGTCTCATTTGTATAAAATAATAACATTTGATCAAATTCTTATATTTTATTTCAAGAAATATATAAATACTTTATTTAGATTCTTTTATTTTGAATCATCCTTATCAATATATATGTTGTGTCCGATTTAGATTTCCGTCCGATTTAGATTCAATCTAAATCTTATATAGAAAAGGAAAAAATAGGAAAACATTTAATAGGAAAACAAGAAAACAAAAATTCTCAAAAAAAGACAATAAAAGACCTTTGAAAAATGGAGAAAACTACAGAAAACGCTTAAGAACATATATTGCGCATGTTTATATTATTGTTCAATCTATATAAGATTTAGATTGAATCTAAATCGGATGGAAATCTAAATCGGACACAACATAAATACTTGATTTAGAAAGAAATAAAGTGCAAAATGTTTCGATAATCGCAATCTAAAGGCTTATCAAAATTCAAAAAACGTGAAAAGTTCTCCAAACAATAACCCAAACAATAATCTAAACAATAATCTAAACAATAATCTAAACAATAATCTAAACAATAACCCAAACAATAACCCAAACAATAACCCAAACAATAACCCAAACAATAACCCAAACAATAACCCAAACAATAACCCAAACAATAACCCAAACAATAACCCAAACAATAACCCAAACAATAACCCAAACAATAACCCAAACAATAACCCAAACAATAACCCAAACAATAACCCAAACAAAAAACGTGCAGTTCTCCAAATAATAAATTAATTGAATTTGAGAGAATTTGTAAAAAAACGGACAAAAATCACGAGTCAATCTTTTATTTTTCTTTGTGAGAATTCGATAAAGAAATTGATGGGATTTCTCTTGACGAAAAATTGTATTCCTTGAGAGAATCCTGTAGCTTATGTGGCTCAGGAGAGCTGAAATAAACAGATTTCATTTTCATTTTCAAATATTCAAGATTTCTCTCAAATTTTTTTTATTTAAGAGTAAGTCAAGTTTCTTTTTTACAGATTACCAATGTCAAAATCTATCGCTAGTGGCACATTTGAATCATTCTGATGTACTTTCTGCTGAAAAATTGGCAAAAAAGCCTTTCTGGCTCACTGAAGTCTTGTTTCTAAGAGATTTTAATTCGTTGTTGTGAGAAAAGTCAAGAAATTAACTATTTTTGTTGATTTTTCTTAATAACTTTTTATAGTTTTCAAGAGAAGATTCAAAGCTATCAAATGAATTGAGAAAGACAAATTTGACTCTTTGGCTCGAGTTTGACTTAAGTTTGACTTGAGTTTGGCTTGAGTTTGGCTTGAGTTTGGCTTGAGTTTGGGTTGGGTTTGACTTGAGTTTGGCTTGAGTTTGACTTGAGTTTGGCTTGAGTTTGGCTTGAGTTTGACTCAAGTTTGACTTGAGTTTGACTCAAGTTTGACTTGAGTTTATCCATTTTCTCTTTCCAGAGTGTGGCCGGCAATATCGCCACCGCTTCACCAATCTCCGATTTGAATCTGATATGGATGGCGTCGAAAGTAAAGCTCGAACAGATTAAGCAGCATATATTAGGTTGGAAAGAAAGTTCTTGGAGAAAGATTGAACGATGATTTCTCAAAAACGAAGCCATCAATTCCACCCAACTTTTTTAATAAACTTGACTATTTCAAAAAGTTTTTGACAAAAAAAAAAAGCAGAGTCGGCTTCAGATCAAAAAAGAGATTTCTTTAGCTGGAGTGACTTGGTCATTTTTTGAGTGATCAACCTTTCGACAAGTCTTGAATGGGTTAATGAATAGGTAATAGATTCCACTCACAAACCTAAAATCAAGTACATAAAATAGGGAAAATTTGTGATTAAGGCAAATTTTGATCTATTAGGTTGTCCAGTTATAAATGCGCGTTTTTAAGATAACAACTCTTTATTTTAAAACCAACAGTTTAACAGCTCAATCAACAATATATTCACCATTTGTTAACAATATTTGTTTCCATCTTCCATGCAAAGCATGAATTTCCTCCGCGTAAAAATTGGCTTGTTTTGAGGCAAAGAAGTCGGCTATCCATTTTTCGACCTCTTGAACTTCTTTGAATTTGTTTTCGGCCAAATGTTTTCGCATTGAGCGAAATAAATGGTAATCCGAAGGAGAAATATCCGGAGAATATGGCGGATGCGAGAGAGTTTCCCAGCCCAACTCTTCGAGTTTTTCCTGAACAATCTTTGCAACGTGTGGACGGGCATCATCTTGAATGAACTTTATGTTTGAAGGATCAAGGCCTTTTTGTAGCAATACATTGCTCACTCGTTCCAATTGTTGTGCATACGTTTCACCCGTGATTGTTTGTCCAGGTTTAAGCAGCTCAAAATATACAATGCCTTGGGAATTCCACCAGACAGTAAGCATTACTTTCTTGCCATGGAAGTCGGGTTTTGGTGTTGGTATTGGCTCCTCACCAGGTTCTAGCCATTGCCGTTTTCGTGTAGAATTATCATGTTGAATCCATTTTTCATCGCAAGTAAGGATTTCATCGTAGAACCCAGTATTTTTTGCCAAACGAAGAAGAATACCCGCCATAGTGACACGAGTAGCTTTATTGGCATTGCTGAGAAGATGAGGAACCCATTTCCCTTGTCGGCTTGTTTTCCCCAATTGATTTAAATGCTCGGAAATTGTTTGAGGGCTTACTCTAAATATTTCTGCAAGTTCACGTGTAGTTTGTCGAGGATCCATTTCTATCGCCTGCTTCAGTACTGCATTATCGATCGCAGGAGGTCGTCGTTGGTGGTCGTCGTCTTTCAAAGATTCATTTCCTTCTCGAGATCGTTGAAACCATCGGCGACACTGGCCTTCCGAAATAGCATTTTCGCCAAATATTTTGCAGAGATCTCGATGGGATTCAACGGCATTTTTGCCCAATTTGAAGTCATACCAAAGACTGGCACGAAGACGAAACTTCGTCTCGGTCATCTAAACACGGAAATTAAATCAAAAATGAATTAGTTTAACGTCAAAAACACGAAAAGTTGTAATAAATAACAAATCTTGAACAACATATAGAGAATAGGGCTTGATAAAATTGTATAGCCCTAAGGTACGCTGTTCAAGAGCAGGCGCGCATTCATAACTGGACAACCTAATAATTTCTTTTAACTTTTCAGAATCACCGATTTTAGCACAACACTCAGTGTCGAGAAGATTATAGAAATACAGGTTCTCTGTAAAAAAATTTCTGAACAAAAATAGAGATTAGTAAACAGTAAACAGTTTAGTAAACGCTCAGTGCCAAGAAGCAGAGTCATTTATGCTAGCGCCAAGAAGATGAAATCAAAAGCTATTTTTTTTTGAAATACAGCTTCTCTGTTAAAAAATTTGTTGGTCAAAAATAGATATTATAGAGCGTAGAGAGATAGAGACAAAAGTAGAGATTAACTTTTCA